GGCGAGGAAGTGGGGTGGGGTATGCAGTTCGGATTATAGCGACGTTCGGATTAGCCTGAGTACGGATTATCGAGGCTCTACTATATTATAAATTTACAATTATTTAACATAATTTTAAATTTATCCGACGTGCTTTTTTTTTCTTTTGTGTGGTCACGGTGACTTACTTTTTTAGAATAAGCAATTCTAAAAAAGTTACTCTTTGTACAACTTTATTGTATCGAAAGTGTCTAAAAAATAGTTTAGAAATAAAATGCAATGTTTATATTTCCATGCAATTTTTATAGTGCAGGCTTTATTATGAAGAAATTGGTATAAAATTGACAGAGATAAGAAAAAAGACAATCCCCTTGATTCGTGAAAGGTTTCGTTGCTTACACACAATTTCCCAAAACAAAAACAATAAATTACCTAAAATATCATATACATATTATTTTAAACCAGCCTGCGTTGATTTCGTGTATTTTACCAAATTTTCTAAAATGATAATTGTATTAAAATATAGCATAATGAATAAGGTGTAACCTAAACCCTTTCTTTTCCACCAGTATTAAAAGTTTCCTTATTATGTTCATGAATTGTATTATTCTCATCTGCGGTTTGTTTCTTTAAATAAACGTAGGTATTTGCCTAATAAGCCATTTGAAAATATTCAAATAACAGTATTTAGTTAGGATGACGCCATCAAAATAGAAAAAGTTGTCTTCAGGCAATGTTCAATTAGGTGTAACATATATTCATATAAATATTATTCTTTTCTTCGCCAACATGTCTCTCACTTCAGCGAGTTTATCAAGTCAAGCTGTAGAGAAAACATAATTATTTTATATGATAATTCATTAACTAATGTTAACGTACCTATAAACTAAATTTGTACAAATTAAAAGGAATTTATTTTGATATTAAAGTTACCTACTTATGATTTTCGAGTTGTAAGTTTGTTATATCTGTTGCAATGGGTTTTATATCAAGAATTCACTTCGATATAGGTACTTATTTTGAAAAACAAATTTGTGAACAAAACTTACCTCATGATATTTTCAAGTTAAACAATTTGTAAAACTATAATTATTTAACTGAAATTTTGTAAACGCCAAGAGGAAGATCGTAATTTGACGGAAACGTTCCAAAAATTTAAGTGTCAACTATCAACCAGAAAACTTTACGTTTAAAATATATAAAAGTATTTTTTTTATTAAATAATTTTGTATATTAAAAATAAATTATTAGTATGTATAGAATCATCTGTTGAAGAAGGGACAGTTAACCTCAAACAAAATTATCATTCTTTCGTTTAGACTTGCGATGCCAATTGTCTTAAGGGGAATTTTACACTTCAAAGTTATAACAGTGTTGGTTGTGGTAAACTCTCCATTAAGCTCAACATTGTGCTCATGAGTCAGATGAAGCAACTAAATTTGCTAAGAAATTTGTTTTTATTTAAGAATCGTATCTGATCTTTCGGAATTGCATGATGGTAGTTATTATTTCTCGTATCTTGCTTGATGATAGAATTGCCTTGCCATGTCGTAAATTCATTAAATATTTGAATATATGTATTCAAATATTTTAAAACAGTCAGTCAGTACTAAGCGTCTGTATTGCTATAACGCGTGACTGACAGATAATTTGCACCCATAATTTGTAATTTTTTATCTCCCTTAAATTTATGAGTTTTAGTATTTGGTATAAATTTCTATGACATTATCACTTTTCCGAAAGTGAATATTTTCACGTCATATTTAGTTTTTTAAGGTTTCACCCAGGTTGTGTACCTGGCACGCTGTTAGGTAACACACTTGTTTTTCAGGCTTTAGTCTATAAACTTGAGTGAAGTTAAGGATCTTATCAAAACATTTCACTCGAGTTTTGAGCTAAGACTGTTGCATGTTTCTGAATTTTGGCATTAAATGGTTATGAAATGTCCATACACTTTTCCACTTTCATGTCTTGGATAAGGATAAGTGCCGTCGAAGACCGAGTAGTTAAATTAGTTGACTACAGAGTTTTCAACTGAGGTACTTGTACTATCAGGGTAGAGATAGAAATCGAACCTAAGACATCATTATTTAATTGTCAATCGTCATAACGAGTTCTATAGCAAATAATGACTGTCAAATACAATGTGTAGAAAGTATCATAGAAATTACGAACAGTATTTTAGGTGTATTACAATATTTAAACTAAAATCTTTTCACTACACCCTAAACACAATTCGACAGAAACTATAAGGTAGTTACAACTAATTAGTTTTTATGAATACGGGGGTAGTTTAAAAGTTTTTTTGTAGGGTACCACAAGTACCCATTGTTATTGTAATTACAAATAAGTTTTCGTTGTTTAAAAATCTTGGTTAAAGAACTTTTTTACTTTTATGTTAAATTACTTAATATTCGTTTTAAGTATGAATAATAAATAAGTTTAAATTTGAATGTGTTTCATTTATATTTACATTTTTTTTATACATGTGTCTTCATTAAGACCAGGGAAGTTATGGAGCTCCGTAACCATGTCCGTTTTAAGAACTTTCGGTTAGTTTCGTATAAGGGCGGAGTCTAAAATCTAAATGAAACGACATGTTTCGACAGGTTTTTGTTAATGGTTTCATTACTCACAAAAATAATTAAAAAGAAAACATTTAATGTGTTATACATAGGTTATAAGTTATGTGCAATGTATAAAGCTAAATGTTTTTTTACAGCTCTTTTTGGCATTTTTATTTATAGATAAAACTGAGGAGGATTATACCTATATATAAAACTAAATTATTACATACTATTTGTGTTTATATTTTACTTCAATCTAATAACCGAAACCGATATAATTTTATTCCTATATCCGTATCCTGATCCGAAATATCATATCCATAACATTTCTAGTTAAGACATCATGGAACATTACGATTTTACCTAACTTAAGACAAATAAGTGATTTAAGTCTCTCCTAATTTTCTGAAAAGGATTTTTAGCATAAGTAAGTGTCCAATAACTTACAGTCTCTTTTAAAGGGAAGACACTCTGTTCTTGTGTTCTATTTTTTCACTCACTGTTTAGCACTTAATACTAGAATACGAATTTATATTTACATAACATCTTTATATAATTATAAATTGACGTGTCAACACACGCATTTTTGCTTTGCAAATAAAATCATAGTTGGTATATATTTTAAGAATAATATACCAATTATGGTCTTATTCATAAATTTGGTACTATATGAGAGAAAAACTGTTTATTTATCTAGGGGGAGCAGCAGAGCCCAGCCCCCCTGCCATGTCGAGCTAAAAACAAGCTTTTCTCCAAACACTTCAGACCATGGCCCATCTTATAACTTAAAACTAGAAGCTTAAATAGATTTTCTTGGCATTCAAACTAAACAATTTAATAATATTTTGACTACTTGTGAGTTCGTTGTGTTTCATTCCGTGGCCAAGTCAATATTTTTATTTAAAACCAAAAGGATATCTAATATTATGGTCACTATAGCAGTGTTGGCTTCAGCGTGTGATTCTCATCCCTGAGGTCATAGGTTCGATCCCCGGCTGTGCACCAATGGACTTTCTATGTGCGCATTTACCTAACACTTGCTCGTACGGTGAAGGAAAACATCGTGAGGAAACCGACATGTCTTAGACACAAAAAGTCGACGGGGTGTGTCAGGCACAGGAGACAAATTCAGAAATCTGAGGCCCTAAAGAGGTTGTAGCGCCACTGATATTATTATCTATATATATAAAAGAAAAATGGTCTTCGTTTGAGGCTCCTTCACGCCTAAACCACTGATCGACATGAAACTACCACCATTCGATGCGAAATTTTTCCTAGATGGTTTATGGCTATTTATTTATTAAATTCCAACGTTCCTTCATTTTTTTATTGCTGTTTTACTTTTATGAAAATTTATCCATACGGACTTCACCGCGGAAACATTCGGGGAGGCTTCCTAGAACCTCTAAACGTCAACATCTGTTAAAAACTCGATTTTCGAAATATTTCAATTTTCTTAGCGGGAAGTTAAAAAGAAGAATAATAAAAATATGAAAAAAAATAAAATAATGAAACATAAAATTTTATTTATTTCTTATTTTAATTCGACCAGCGAAGCGGGCGCGAAACGGCTAGTTATATTATAAGATGTTATTAGGTTCGATGATTACGTGATATAGATAGTGCAATCCACGAAGACGAGCCCCACTATTTCTTCGAACCGTGTATAGTATATGTGTGCAAGCTCCCGTTAATGTTGAGTGTTATCGCCTATCGGTACACGCTCACGGCTCACTACCAAGAATAGCTGACGGTTCGCAACTGACGCTCGGAGCAAACTCCCCGCACCCCGCAATCCATAAATTGGTGGGGCGCGTCTTCGTGAATTGCACTATCTATACCTTAGACAAGGTCCCTTAAGTAAGGACTTAAGAAATTAAACGACCTGGTGGACCATTGATCTGTTTACGGTAGAACGAGTTGCGTGACTTGTTTTGACATGTTGCGTTTTGGCATAAATACTTAAGTGATTTTTAAAACTATTGCGTACAGCGTAGTGCGAAAACGAAAATTTAATGTGATCGTAGCCCTTTGTAATTTGTCACAATTTACACTCGCTCCATTTCAAAATGTTGATCAGAGTGGATGATCAATTAAAGAAACAAATGCAGAAATGTGTTTGCCCCGTGCCACATTGGGCGGTTTACAGAATTTCATCGAATAATTTTCACAAAATAATCGCGCTATATTCAAGCGGGCGTGGAACGAAAAGAAGGTATTTACATTAAAACATCTTAAAGTATAACTTTTATTAGTAAAATTCTTTAAAAAACTTATCAACGTCCTTATGTTACTGAGTTATGACACTCATAAGTAACCCAATTTTGATATTTTTGTATTTAGATATGATTAGAACACATTCCATTCTAAATCAACACATGAAAAATCGCGGGCGTTAACTGTCCATTTAAACGGCGTCCTTTTTACTTTTATTTACAGATTCAAAAAACAATTTTATTGTTTATGCCTTTGTTTAATTTTTATTTTGCCGGTATACCTTTCATCCATATGATCATAGATCAAGTCAGGCGTCTGTGGTCGCTCTAAGAACTTTTTGAATGATTTCAACAGCTTTTGCTTCTCCAGAATCCTATCCTTTTTGGAACTTTTGGAGATTGCTGCCAATGTCGTATCTACCCAGGCCTCGTAATATGGAATTGTCTGTTTATTAACACAACTAGGCGCCCATTTTGCGACCTCTGTAGGTGGAGATTCGCCTTTCTTGACTAAGACTGGTGACGGAAAACTTCTTTTTTTACGAAACTTCTTTTTCTTCTCTTTACTAGAATTTGATACATTTGTATTTTTATCGCATGATTTAACTTTTTCTTTTTGCTTAACAATGGGTATTTTTATTTCTATAGGCATTGTTTCTCGCTGCTTAAGGTCTGTAAACGTGACAGCTTTGTAAACTTTTGCGTCGTGTTTCGAATGGATAGTAGTAATGACGGGCCGACGCGAACTTTCGGATTTCTTCTGAGAATCCTTTGTTCTGGTGCTGACCGATTTACTGTCTATTATCTCCGTGCTTTGTTTCTTGCAATCCGCAGTGTCTAGAATTAATTTAATTTATTAGGATTTTTGATTAGTAATAAAAAATGATTTTGTTTACTGTCTAATGAAAAGATGCTTACCGATTGGCGGGCCCACTTCCTTTAAATTAGAGCTAACTTTGCTTTTAATAAAATGTTTTTCCTTTATTTTCTTTCTTTCGTCAGCGTCCAATGTTTTAGTATTTCTTTTGCTACATTCATCTATATCTTTAATACGTTCTTTATTTTGTTTGAATTTCAAAACTTCATTTATCTGAGATTTTATTGCACTATCTACAAATTCATCCTGAGTGTGCTGTGGTCTTGGCTTTTGCAATATCGCACCGTCATTTACTTCCTTATTACACCTTGTATATTCGTTACTAACAAGGTAACCTAAATTCATTTTATCTAATGTATGTTTTAATACATCATGTTTGACCACATTTGGTGTTTCGTTCGATTGAAATACCTTTCCACCATTAGCTTTTGGTCTTTCTAATTTATTATTAATATTAGACAAATTGTTATCTTTAGATTTGAGATCTGAATACAATTTGAGGTTTTGGATGTAAGTTTTTACTCTTGATCTTACATTGATAGGCTTAGATAAAGTTTCTTCAGTTTTGGAATTAATTTCATTCGTTTTAACTGAAGTTTTATTTCCTAATTCATTCCTATCGGGTGCAGAATTCTTTATATTACCGCTATCTTCATTTAATTTTATATTGCGTGGTTTTCTCTCACATCTATTTGTTCGAATATCCGCGATGGTACGAGATTTAAGCAGTATTTTCCTTGAATCACCTCTGTCAGCAAGATATAGACCATTCGTCAAGCGCGAATTCAACGATTTATCTCCTAATTTTAAAATGTCCCCTTGGTCTGTTACTTTAGCTTTTGGTTCATTAATTCGTTTTGAATTTATCTTTTCCATTTGCCTAAATAATATTTTATGCAGAACTAAAAATTTTGTGTGCCGATGCCAGCTAGATGAACTGTCAATTCTCCGTGACATCTTAAATATATGGTATAATACAACATATTTATTATATAGATTAAAAAAGTAAATTATCATAATAAATTATTGTCATAATAGTTTAGTGTGATAATTAAATGTATCGCTGAGCTACTTTCATTATTTGTATCACTAATAATTATTACTATAACATTAATTTTACTACAAATCATATCAAAAACGTTAAACAATCTGTGTTCGGAAATGTCAATAATTTAAACAAACTCCTTACTAAATACTTATACTCTGGTCTCTGGCCATTTCTTGTCCGAAACCAGCTGTCAAAAACCATCAAAATCTGCAAGTAATGAAGTCTTAAAAATTAAAATTTCCAAAAAAATTACAATCACTTAACCATGGATACAAAAACGACCGTGGTTAAATCTAAGTCATCAAACGGTGGGGTTTCAAATAAGCGAGAAAAACAGAAGTTCACTAAAAGTGATGCAGAATTTCAACCATTATGTATGAAAAAACGCGGCGTATATGTTGAAAACAAAGATGATAAACTTATTGACATTTATGGTAAGTTTTAATGATAACGTTTAACCCATCGAAATCTATAAAATAGTTGGTACACCAGTAAACCCAGTGTACCTTTGAATAAATATAAAATCTACATAGTTCGATTCGGATTAATACCTGCAGCTGAGTTTCATCATCGGACATCAAGGCAGACTACGAAATTCCATCCGTATCACCTCGACGTCCGTCGTTCCACAACTGCTTTAAGGCAAATTTTGGCGCGCACAACTATGTGGATCTAGCTGCCCACTAAAGTATTTCCGAACCAATTCGACTTAGGGTCCTTCAAGATAAGAGCGATGCAATACTTAAAAATCCGGTACTGCATTTGCAGCTTTCTGGCTAAATCACTTTTAATCAGATGAGCCTCATAGCCGTTTGCCCCTTGTTCTATAAATGAAAAATAATATTAGTATCATGATCTATTTGTTTTCAAGCACGTGGATAAGTTTCGTACGTGTATGTATGTTTGTCCTGACATTTCTCGGAGCCTAAGATATAACACATGATTTTGAATAGAGCGTACCAATTCTTAAAAGGCCGGCAACGCACTCACGAGCTCTCTGGCATTGAGAGAGACCATTTCCACCACGCAGCGGCATCACTTAAAATCAGGTGAGCCTCCTGCCCGTTTGCCCCCTGTTCAATAAAAAAACAGATTATAACAAAGTAATGTAAACTTAAAATTTTGTTTATTAGAAAATAATGATGCCGAAACTAAGAAGAAACCCCCGCCACGACCACGGCCAGGCCAAAAGAAGTTCCTTACATCCGTTCTTAATATATTGTCTAAATCAACCACCGGTACACAATATCCAGATAGCGAACAGATTAGACCCAGGAAGAAAACTAGCAAGTTACAGAAAAAAAGAAATCAAGAAGCATACAGCGATGAATATATTGAAACAACAATTAAAACGAAAAAACCAAAGTACAAGTCAAAAATATTAAATGGTGACAGCTATATTTCATTCAACGATAAATTTGTTGTTTTACAATCAAAAAAAGAAATTATACACACTCCATCCAATTTCTCCGAAAACTTTCCAATAAGTGAGTCAACTAATCCTATAAGAGAGCTATTGGAAAATAATATTTATAGTGGTGTAGCCGAGGGTTTAGCCAAGGAAATACTAGAAGGACGATCTGAAACTCCTCTTATCAATCCAGACGATCCTTCGACATTAGTCGCAGACACACCAAAAGACGATAAGAAAATATACAACTTCTTTGTTGATTTACTTGAAACCACATTCGATGTATATAATGTAGAAACTGAACAGGCGAAATCCAAAGACTCAATTTTGGAGATTGAAGAAACAGTGGCCAAAAAATTGAATTTTAACATCGATACACCTGAAAGGGAGGAATGTCACGATCACGATCATGATCTGAAGTTTCAAATACAGGAAGATAAGATATATGAACCGGTTTACACGAACCAAAGGCCTAAAGCTAAAAGGAAATCGCCAAAACGTTGCCTTCACTCTCGTTCATTCGTATACTCTCAACCACTTCCGAAATCGAAAAGTCTTGTCATAAAGAAGAAACCACAGACTCAGCAATCTAAGAAAAATGAACTATTGAACACAATAAAAGAAGAACTAAAGATGGATTTCATGACATATGAGGAGCCGCAAAACTTATTTCAGGCTTTACGAAACATGGCGAAATATAAAAGAAAGTGCCAGGGAAAAAAAACAATACATTTCGAACAAAATGAAAGCAATCTTAATGATGAATGCATTTTCAGTCGTGATATATTTTCACATAAAAAGATAGGAAATCGTAAAATCCGAAAGGAAAAATTTAAAGTCGAGAAAGAAGCTCACTCTGTTGCAAAAATTTTTAAACCTAAAAAGGACCCAGATATTAATAATATATCTAGTCATTCATTAAAGGTTTACGATATTGAGTATGAAAATAATGATGACGACCCAAAATACATCACAGGCTCTCATAATATCTCTGAAGTTGATGATTTTAATGGATCTTTTGGAATTTCTGCCTCTTCTCTAGATATAAAGGGATTTTATTCATTAATTCAAGATTAAATTATAACAGTCTATATTTTTTGTTATAATTATTTTAAGTTTATTATTAAGTTTTATGCTTTTAATTAACACGGATGCCCCGGAGATGACAATGCACATAGTAAAACTCAAAATAAATGTATTCCCATTTAAGCCTTTGGCTCCCGAGATCGCTCTAGTAGTAGTAGGTTTCCCAAGAGACCCAGTAATAGGACTGACAACAACATTGCAAAATTGGAATTACGATCAGGTTATATATCCGTGGTATATTTTATATTCCACTGGAGCAGCGTCCCAAAGAAGGCCGCCGAAACCTACTATTTTTAATTTTATGCATAAAGTTCAATACTTATTATATGAATGGGCATGTAGCAACTCGAATTATTGAACAATTCCTTGAGATTGGATCCATCTTGGCACTATAAGTTATAATGAATATGAGACCACAGATGAATTCGTGACCGTCACTGTCATCCGTTTAAAGTTTTGTAGCCAAACACGTGACAACTGACAACGACAATACGCAGCTTTCAATTATGATAGTCTTGAAATAGTCTGTTGATTTGAGTCTTCAGTCTTATGTTCCGTTGATTTTTAAATTATTTATTGTTGTCGAAGTTTTTGGTTTCGATATTTATTACTTACATAGCTAAAATTATTGTTATTCCATTTCTGGATGTTCACTTTCATTACTTTAATAGCTGTTTTATATGACCTAAAGGTGAATCCGTATACAAAGAATGCAAACAAAGTAAAAAGCTAATATGGCAGGATTTGAAGCTTTATGCAAGGCAAGCTTAAACTTAGGCCAGGAACTTAAAGCCCAAGCTGATAATTTATTTTGTGCTAAAGTTAATGTGTCTTTCGAAGACGTCGTTACGAAGCAACAGGAAAACCTATCCTTTCTTACTTCAAAATTGCGCTTGTTACAAGCAAAGACGGTATCGGGTAAGTTTGTAACATCCAAATCATAGACAAAGTTCTCAAAGTATCTCTCACTGCGTAAAAGTTTCTCATTACCCATGTCTTTGGTTTACACGAGTACTACATATTTATATCGATAAAGAAGTTTCGTTTAATTGTGCCTATAATTCCAGTGCCTCCACAAGTGAATGAAACTGAAATAAATGCTGAAGGAGTCATCAACGACTACACTGAAACTGTAACCTTGAAACTTATTGAACAGCAACTTGTGAAGAATGTCACTCAAAGTAATGCGGTGAAGGAGCTTCTAGCAACACCAGATGAGGCTCTTGAACCTGAATTAATAGAAAGGAAGAAGTAAGTTAAAAGAAAATCCATATTCATTTTTTTACTCAAACTTGAATGTCATGTTTAAATATTGGGATATTTAAGGGATTATTTAACTCAACAATATTTTATCATTAGCTCCTTTAACACTGAATTTTTATGTATATAATATTTCTTTTACTTTAGAAACATCCTTGCAGTAGCTGCTGAATTTTCTGATAAGGAATTGAAACTACAGCATTTATATAACACATTCAAAGAGGAGCATAGCACATTATTGCAGATGCGAAAAGAATGGGACACAGTAAGGGCAAAACTAAAAAGTAGTCAAAGGATAACACAGAATAAGGAACAGAGTGAAGGACCATTGTATAGGTATATTTAATGAATTATTCTTGGTAACATTAATTACAAAGTATGTGATGATATTAAAAGTTGAGTTGGCTTTGGTTTCTTCCCAAAAATGTCGACTACAAGTTAAAATATTATAGTATTGTAATTGTAGGACATAATTTATTCTAAGTAGAACCATTGTAATTTGTTTCTCAAAAATTTAAATATGTTAAGTAAACTTCTCTAACTATATTAATCAGAGAATTATTTGTATATATAAGAAAAGTGTTATTTAGTAGCTAAGCATTAGTAACATGGTAAGTTAGGTGCAAAATTCCACTTGCTGAGTACTTGGTTATTGTTGATGGGTTTCAGGACTACTTTCATACTTATAAATGTTTATTACAGGAAACTTCAAAGTGTAGTTGCGAAAATAGAGCAAATGCGATGGATGATACCTAAGCTTGTAATAGCAAAGTCTAGACACTATGATTGGGCGAGTGACCCCAATTCAAGACTCAAAGTGCTAGCACTAACACGACAATGTTACACTGTACAATCATTTACTGATAATTAGCTATAATGTGATTATAACATAGTTGATATAAATCTAATGCTTAAGTATTATAAGTCAGTCAAGACATGACTAGTTTCTTAAAATGTGATAACTAAACATGTTTTAATCAAGTAGAAGTGTATTATATATGGTAAATAAAAGCTTTATTAACAATTTTAACATCTTTAATTAATTATTCCATTATAATATATATAATATTATTAAGGAATGAAAAGCGAGGCTTGTATTTGAGAACTTTGCTAATGACACTAAAAATATTTTTGAAGTTATACTTCTTTAGGCGCGTTATGAAAAATTGATGAGAGTGAAATTATACGATGCGCGCGCACCGTGACACAAAATTAACAGAATGAAGTTGCCCACGGATGATGCTACGGCATTGGACATAATTTGAATAATAATTAAATTTATGTTACACTTAATGTAAGAGAATAATAATAAATATTTATTTATTTAATTTTTCAAATGTAAACTGAACTTTATTGACTATAATGACTCCAATAATTATTTGCATGCAATCAAAACTATTTTTACTAATGCCAAAGAAGTATAACTTCTTACGCGCGTACATAAGTACACGCATTTTTAATATGACTGGGTAAGACTACTAATACAATGTTACACTTCGTCATAGTCGTAGAAAAGTGATGTATCTTACAAATAGTAAACTTTACAGGGCAGCTATTTCAAAATAATATAATCATGTTAGTTTTTGTCACAACTTTTTTAATTCATATTCTGTTTAAATTATGAATTTTGGCAAACAAAAGGGTTTGTTTTGAAACAAAATAAAAATATCAACGTTAAATTACATAGTTTTCTATAAAAATCACGTTTCTACGGAATCCGTCACTTTACCAACTGATTAATTTGAAATTTACATGGTTTTTTTTTTTAAATGTAGCCATAATATTTAGTCAATGTAGTATCCAAATATGTTAAAAAGTGGAATTTGGTTTTTTTTCAAATCTGACATTGTTCTACGATCATGACAACTTATTTCATACAGTAAACAGTTAGTTTTGGTTGCTAGAAATCATTAACTATTGAAGAATGATTGAAAGAATTGATATAAAGCAATATAAATTTTCTAAAGCTGACAATTAAAATTAACTATGTATACAACCATTGACTATTAAAAACATTGTGTTAATATTATTAAATAAAATGTTATGTATTAAAATTACTTGTTGAAATAAAGGCTATTCCAAAGAAAATGTCTATTTTGGTATTCATTGTAATAAAAAACCACTAAATGTATAGCGTTTAATTTTCATATTACAAATATACATAATATTTATTTACGAGACCAATTTTAATGCCAGGTTCCATCTGTGTAGGCGTAGGAGTCCAAAAACTGTTTATTCACACACAGTACCCAATAAAAGGTCCCTTACATTGGCTCTGAAAATATTTTTTAATCATTAATTGAATGTTATTTTGTAGTTTGATGAGAAATGACAAAGAATGAAAGATGGCGCGATTCTTTGATTGTTGTTTGACACATCAGTTATGGTCCAAGAGCTAGTGAACCCTGGGAGTAACGGTCTCCCTGTAAGGTTAGAAATTTGTATACTTACGATTTATGACATGCTAAGAGCAATAGCCATGACCTGGCAGGCGTCAGCCCTGCACGTCATCAGCCCCTTTTTTTTTTGGACTGTTAAGTAAATTGAGTTTCAAAACTTGTTTCTGTAAATTTGAAAATTTTATAGGATAAAGTTTATTTATTGTACATCTTAAAAAAAAATTGACAGGCGATTACAATAAGCAGAAGTATATGACAGATCAATTAGAAAACGTACAGTTGATGAGTTAAAATAAACTTTATCCTGTATACTTAAAATTTTTATATGTTTTCAAGTAAACGTCTCAGAGTAAATATGTACAATGCCAGGCGGTTTTGAACAGCATAAGACCTTGACAGGCGAGGGGACAGCTGCTAAGGGAGTGCGAGTGAGAGGTGTTGCGTGAATGCCTATAGTGCGAGTGAGACCGTTTATCTAATACGAAGGGACGTATACCTGCTCTCGAGCAACAATGTACAGAGAAGAATTTCGTCAGTTGTGCCAATGATTTTTACTTGTGAAGATGCTTTGAGCTATAACATTTCTTATGTTGAGTGAATTCGAATTTTTAAAAAATCTAACTTTATATTATTATCAATTGTGCAGTGATATTGTGTATTGTTGTACTTAATATTAACAGTACGAAACATAAATTATTTCATTACCGGACCAGAACAAATTCGACCAGTCGATTTTATGAAAGAACTTCGTAACATAAAATTTAAAGAAGCTTTCGTAGATTTTTTAATTTCACATTGGAGCACAAATGAAATGATAGAGTTTATCGGGAATACCATAGTAAACTTAAATTACAAACAATGCCATACTTATAGTGTCCAAAATAACTCTGTGATTGTCGATATAAATGATGATTTATCGTGCCAACATCATGAAGAGGCTGATACAAAAATAATATACCATACATGCCAAATGGATGAAGATGTATCCGACGTATTAATAAAAACATGTGACACAGACATTTTAATATTACTGCTCGGAAACATGGACCATCTCCACAATAATAATTTAAAAATCTATATGGAATATGGCACTAATCATTGTAAAAAATGGATAAATATTTCTGAACTATATACAAAATTGGGACCTTCTATATGCCAAAGCTTACCGGCATTTCATGCATTAACCGGTTGCGATTTCAATCCGTCCTTTTCAAGAAGAGGTAAAAAAAAACCATTCCAAATATTGCAGAAATCGAGTGTATATCAGAAGGCATTCAAAGAATTAGGAAACGCAGAAATAGTACAGAAGAAAGAAAAAATTTTCCCGATACTAGAGAAATTTGTATGCCAAATGTATGGTTTGAAATGTTCAAAGTTAAATAATGCACGTTATGAAAAGTTCCTTGCTACGTACAACACAAATAATCCTAAAGTGTTTATGAAAAAAGTAGTAAGCTATGATTCATCGAATTTACCACCCTGCAAACGTGAACTACATCAACAATTATTGAGAACTGCCTACATTACAAATATATGGCGAAATTGTAATTTAAAAGAACCAACAATTCTTACACCTGAAAATAACGGTTGGAACTTAATTGATAGTCGTTACGAATTTAATTGGTTTGAGGGGAATACGGTTCCATCTTCTATATACGACATACTTTTACAAGGACCTGCTGATACTGCCACAGCACAATCGACTGAAACTGAGGAATGCATTTCAGGTAACATACAACTATTTTATTCCGTAACATTTAATACGCAGTCCTATGTAATTGAGCTTGATATTTAATTCTTAACAACCTTATTGATTCATTAAAATATTTTTTTTTACTATTTTCAGATGAGGAAAACATTGTTGAAGAATCAGATGATGATGAAAACAGTGATAGCGAAATTTCGGATGATGCTGAAGAAAATGAATGTTAAAAATAATGTAGATTGCATAAAACCCAATAAAATACATTGCATTTACTGTATGCGTTCATGTAACATTTCTTATTTGCACGCCGCTGCAGCAGCTGTCCCCTCGCCTGTCAAGGTCTTATGCTGTTCAAAACCGCCTGGCATTGTACATATTTACTCTGAGACGTTTACTTGAAAACATATAAAAATTTTAAGTATACAGGATAAAGTTTATTTTAACTCATCAACTGTACGTTTTCTAATTGATCTGTCATATACTTCTGCTTATTGTAATCGCCTGTCAATTTTTTTTTAAGATGTACAATAAATAAACTTTATCCTATAAAATTTTCAAATTTACAGAAACAAGTTTTGAAACTCAATTTACTTAACAGTCCAAAAAAAAAGGGGCTGATGACGTGCAGGGCTGACGCCTGCCAGGTCATGGCTATTGCTCTTAGCATGTCATAAATCGTAAGTATACAAATTTCTAACCTTACAGGGAGACCGTTACTCCCAGGGTTCACTAGCTCTCCAGCTATTATTCGCGCCACTGTTGTGTTTAATTTTTTGTTATCACAGCAGACTAAAAAATAAAAATCGCTAAACTAGAACTTGAGTACATCTTGATATTCTGTTTACCCGTTAAAGCCTAAGTTTCCTAGAAAAGCGGTGCCGTCAACTAACGGCCGTCTTTACTTTTTAATATAATGCAAAAAAAACATAATTTTCTCGTCCAAGTCACGTTTCCACTCATTGTATTAATTAAATATGGGCACCGCTACACGCGAAAAACGTTGAACTAATGTTTATCACCGCTATGACGGCCGTCATGCAAATGACAGCATCACTATTTGACGTTACGGTGACACTCAACGTTCTCTAGAAAACCTACTCCGATATTTTATAGACAACGTATGGGTGACGTCACCCAACGTTACATTACGGCCGTTGGATAACGGCACCGCTTTTCTAGGAAACCATATTTACAACATATTTAACACAATTAAGATGAATTTAAAACTTTTAGTCAAATGCGTTTAGGATGGTATAATAAGAATATCAGAGTCAATGCGATAACACTACTACGCAATACTTACTTGTAAATAAAGAAGTTATATTCATTTGTATCTAGTGAGGTGTAGCCAAATCTTGGTAGTTTATTCGCTATCACCCAAACTTCGTTGTCTGTGACATGCAAATCTAAAAAGTATACATATAAATCACAGATAAAGAATCTCAATAATAGATACCTACAGATACCGGCAAACATCTTGAACACATGTCCTTGCCGGCGCAGAAGCGATTTTTAAGTATCACTGTGAGGGGGGCCGGCTGGCAAGAGACGTGTCGATCGCGTGATTGGTAAATCAGTTGACGTTTGTGTCCCGCGCTGCGCAAACTTTCCCTTGTTTAATGTTCAAGATGTTTGCCGGTATCTGTAAGTAATCTTATAGAGAATGGATTTGACTACAGTTTTTATGTCTTGTTCAACATAGAATAGATTTACATAAAAATAAAATAAACCTATGTGTTGTCCCTTGTCACTAACACGTTTTCGATT